AAACACGAACTTTCAAGATCCTTCATGCGTTGTTGGACTATTCACGATTCAGGTTTTAGAGATCCATTATGAACTACAGAAGACATTTAGATGATGAAAATATTCCTACAACGTACTGAAGAACTGGAAGTACTATATTACAACTATATTTGATGCAGACAAGGTTACAGAATTATACAGGCTGCAGTGCAGACTTTCGAAATGTCATCATTTATGTTTCTACAACAGGCGGTTGCCGTCCATTCAGTTAAGTTTCATCATGAATACTCTTCCTAAACAATCCATCAAAGAGTTGACGGTGTGGTGTCATGGTTCGAGTTCTCATCTCAGTGCAGAAAGATTAGGTCCTAGTAATATTAATTAATTATTATTGAGCTTCACTACAACATACAGTCTGCACAGTAGTAGACGTTTCTAGGGATGATGTAATGTGAGAGGTATTTAATGTGTACACTACTATAGCTTCTCTGAAATCCCGAAAATTGTTTCAAATCTCTTTAAACACCTGTATGAGCTGGTGAATAAATGTAAAGTAGGCATAAAGAACTAACAGACACTTCTCAGTGAGTTCCAGGATAGGAAGTTGGAAAATGCATCTTTTACCCACTTCAACACCAATACAGAAGAATCCATATTATCTACCAGTTGCTATCCGATCTTTTTGGGCCAATCAAAAGTTGATCATGAAGCAGGCAAGATGCCCTTTTGGAAATTATCCAATCTTCTCAAAGCAATTTGCCATCTCCTGTATTCATTGTAAAGAAATAGGATGATAAATATATACATCTGGACTTCAGAAAGGTCATTACTCTTACTGAATAGACGCAGTTCGATTTCTTAAGATGTCTGTTGAGTGCTCAACTGTTCTTAAAACAAACTGGTTTAAGTGTTTTTTTCCTATGAACAGAGTTCAAAAAGATGCCTCTTGTGTTCTGTAATGCCCCAGGCACTCTGCAGGCTCCAGAAAAACAATACATTTGTACCAACTAAATTAAGATCAGTTAAGAAGAGACTAGAAGCTCGGTACCAAGAAAATTACCCTAATGCAGTAGCAGTTGTTTGTCACTTTATAAGAAGCAACGATATTTGGACCAACACTGTAAAATGTGATACTAGAGCATCCACAGCAACTATTAGGATGGATTTTAGAAATTTAAATTTAAAGTTTTACCTCAGAGGTTTCATAGTAAAATTCCACACTATGGCAGGGGACTGTACCATTGACTAGGTTATCAAGGAAGGATTTCCACCTCTCCTAAAACAAGTAAAGGGAATGGTCATTTGTTCAAACCAAGATGTTGAGATTATATTAGTAATTCCAACCAGCGATTTTATCATTGAAATTCCTATATCTTTGGTTCAGTATAGTTAGGAAGGAATCGATGCTTAGATCGGTAAGTTTTTAGTTCCACCTTAAAAGGGATTATAGAATAGTTAAAGTTTTTGTGTTGGTAATTATCAAGACATTTCTCCCAGTGTTGTCGTTCAGACCTAGGTGTGTTTTTATTTTCAATGTTTTTATTTTTATTTTTCACGTACTTATGATTTTCATCTTAGAGGAGAAATGAGAATTGGAAAAACATGTATCAGACAATTGACACACGTGTTATTTATTTATGTACACGATAGATGAGAAGTTTCGAACAGGCCAAAATATAGACTGTCCTCACTCCAATTGTGAAGCGCGTTTACCAGTGCGCAGTCCAGTTGTATATTGGAGAAAGGTTCCTTTCTCAGCTATATTGAATGAGGTACAAAAGAAATACAAAAAATGGGTAAAGGTACCTGAAAATTATCAATTTTGCAGGCTGTTAATCAGTCTTGTGTGATCATATCGACCCCCACTGGCACATCGGTAAGTCTACTTATTAAAACTAGGGTTTCGATACCCGTGGTTGGCACGGCACAGATAGCCCATCGTGTATCTTTGTGCTTAATTACAGCTAACCAATCAACCAACTACATGGGATAATTTTATCACTTCGTTATATATTTTATTACTTAACGGAAAATACTGACGAATGATTGGTAAGAATATAGGACTAGTTGCTTGGGACGATTACTCCTCTGTATTTTATATAGCATCTTGTTTTTTAAAGTCTTTTTGCACATTCAGTAGTACGTGTGCTCAGAAGAGAATGCATTAACCCAACTAAAAAACTGGGGCAGGCATGAGGCTTTTATTTTTTAATCTTACCTTTTATTAGTTGGCCAGATATTGGGTGTACAAGTTCTGAATAATGAGGACGTTTATTCCAATCTAAAAAATGAAGGATTACATGCCAGAATATATATATATATATATACCAAGCAATAAACTCTGGGTCGTTGGTCGCACCCCTAAAATCTTAAAAATGAAGCACGGGCGATAGACTAAGGGTGGGTGAAGACGAAAACAAATCGTTTTTTTTTTTTAGTTTGCCTCAGATGAGTCAAACCTGTCCAAGGCTTGAGTAAAATCTGACCTTCGCTTCTTCATTGTTCTGTCACCAGATTCGTTGTCATCGTAAGCAAAAACGTTTCTCAAGCGACATGTACGTTACCTTCTATGTTAATAATTGTTTGTTTGTTTTGAATTTCACTCAAAGCTACACGATGGCTATCTGCGCTAGCCGTCCCTAATTTAGCAGTGTAAGACTAGAGGGAAGGCAGTTAGTCATCACCACCCACCGCCAACTCCTGGGGCACTCTTCTACCAACGAATAGTGGGATTGACAGTCAAATTATAATGCCCCCACAGCTGAAAGGACGAGTATGTTTTGTGTGACGGGGATTCGAACCCGCGACCCTCAGATTGTGAGTCGAGCGCCCTAATCACCTGGCCATGCCGGGCCTGATAATAATACTTAGCTTTTGTATGTCCCGAAGTGAGCCCTCGCGCCCTTATTTCAATGGATGTAAATATACTTTAGTAGTCATTTTGTACAACAACATACTAAATGCATATTAAGGTTTTCAAATAGGTTTAATGTTAAGGTTATAGAATAGCATTATAAGTGTATTTATCGATTGTTTAGCCCTAACTAAACTAAAGCAAAAACATACAGTGTTAATTTATCACTTTATCCAATATAGACCATACCTAATAAAAGCTTAACTAACACTAATTTGACCGCAAGTGTTTTGTGGTCCTCTTCTAGTAGAGAAAGAACCTTTTGCTTTATTTCCGTGTTAGATCTTTTTTTTTTCTTCCTTCTGGAAGATGGCATTCAGATTAATTTTGTGTACCTGGCTTGTCAGGAAACCTTTCATAGGATACAAGTTAAGTAGCTAATCGGAAAGTTACGTTTGTATCGTATTAATAAAAACATGTTGGTTAAATCGTGAATGCACAATTGAATTGGTGGTAAAAAGCAGAAGGCGATGAATAAATGTAGACTTATTTTTTCTGTTTGAGAGAATGTGGAGTCCTTCCAGGTTTTATTTGTTTCTAATTGTTTATTAGAATGATATTAGTTCAAACATATAAAAAAATTACCCAAATTTGATGATGATACAAAAATTGTGGGTAAGACTGATAATGTAAAGAATGTTTCGTTAATTTAAAAGAGCCTGGACAGTTTGTTTGTTTGTTTGTTTTGAATTTCGCGCAAAGCTACACGAGGGCTATCTGCGCTAGCCGTCCCTAATTTAGCAGTGTAAGACTAGAGGGAAGGCAGCTAATCATCACCACCCACCGCCAACACTTGGGCTAC